TCCGAGTGGCCACGTGGCTTCATGTCAAGAGACTGGAACTGGTGTTGGGCAATTTGGTGTTGACTTCCTAAAGGCAAGAAACCTCATAGTAACCCTTCAAGCAACCCTCATAGCAATCCTTGTAGCTCGCTGGGCGCTCTAAACCCAAACCCTAAAGCCCAAAGACCTAAACGAAAACTCAAACTATCATAGGGATCCTTAGGGGTGTAGGGGGAGGGGGGGTAGGGGGCCTTAAGGCCCATAATAAGGACTAATAAGTCCTATTTAAGGAAATATAGTCCCCTACACCCCTAAGGATCCCTATGAAACTAAGACTTGCCTGATGGTTCGTAGTAGCCCGGCCAGCTCTCTGGGCACCCTGGAGACCCAGAACATGCAGGTCCCTAAACCCTTAACCCTGCAGCCTACAAGTCTATAAGTATACACCCCAACAACAAAAAAGCGTTCTATCTATCTATCTATCTATATATATATATATGTATATATAAATATGTATACATATATATATATATATGTACAGACTGATCCCTGAAGGCAAAGAACAGCCTAAAGTCGTGCAGGTGGGATCTGCACTACACCGAGACCTTGGAGGACCTCGACATGCGCCCCGCTGAGTCGCAGGGTCTTAAGTTTTACGAGCCTATACGGGTTTTGCGGTTGAGGGGTTAAGAGTTCAGGTTTAGGGGTTTAGGGGGCTAGGGGTTTGGGTTTAGGGTGCAAGGGTTTAAGGTATTGGGTTTAGGGGATTGAGGCTTCAGGATCTTGCTGGGCTTTGCAAGGTATGTTTGGGGTTGTATGGATGTAGCAGCATGTAGCACGGCTCGAAGGTTTCATATGGTTTCTGGTAACGCCACAGCGTTAGGGCAGTTCGGGCGTTGAGGTTGGGGTCTTAGCATTTCGGGTCTAAGGTCTTGGGAATGGCGTCAGCAGCTCCGCACAGGAACCGCCAACGCCTAAACCCGAATAGGGCCATATACCCTAATGCCTATATGCCCCAAACCATGACCGGGCGTTTGTGCGCAGCCTTCCCTACAAGCCACAGAAACAAGTCCAATAAGGTGAGGCCCACATGGGCTTGAGGCTCATACTCGACCCAACCCTTTTTTAGGGCGCCTAGTTTTTTGAGATGACAGTTGAGCAACATAAATCTAGGTGTCCTAAAAAAGGGGTAGGGTATGTACTCAAACTATGGCAACATGTACCTCAAAACTGCCAGGCCCAAGCCCTGCCTGTAGTCTCCATTGTAGTTCCTTTTTTGGTATAGCCAACTGTGTGTTCAGGATCCCATAAGGCAACCCCAAGAAACAATGATATTGGAGACTATAGGTACATGTTAAGCTCCAACAGCAAGATACCTCTGAGACTCGAGATTTTAGTGGTTCAAACAAGTCTTCAGGTCTGTGGACCCGCGTGAGCCGGGTGACGACGCCTCAGTTTTCTGCTGGAGAAGCAGCACTGCAAGTTCTTGTACAGGTATTTAACAAGGAAGTCTGAGCAATTACCAATATTGTTCCCTACGGCTTTCGCGGTCCGTGTTATAACTATGCTACATCGTATCCAGCCCGATTCTTCTTGTTATGATCCATATATACGGTTTTGCATGCTGGGTGTACATAGGGGCTTGGGGTTTCGGGCAGCAGCAACATGAAGACTATCGTCGTTGGTGATAGTCGATAGCTCATTGAGGCGCAATCTTAACTTACGATCGCCCTCACCCTGGCAGCTTGCGCCCCAAAACCCCTCCCAAGACCCTAAATGCCAAACCCAAACCCAAGCCCTCCGCAGCTTTTGCTCAAGCTTACTTTCCAGTGGCAGCTTGGCCGTCCTGGTGCACTTGGAACCTCGGGCGTTTAGCTCAATTTTAACAGGCTAGGGTGTGTACCCTAAGGCTCCATGTACCCTTATAGTATATACTTAGGCCTTAAAGTACCTACATAGGGACACCTTTAAGGCTTAAGTATCTACTATAAGGGTACATGGAGCCTTTGGGGTAGGGTTTCATGAGTTCTGGGCTGCGTGGGTTTGGATGCAGGGTCTCCTCGATTTGTTTTCCCTGGAGTTGATGATCTTGTTTTGCGGTTCTCAATCAGGGTTTGGCGTTTGGGGTTTGAAGTTCTGGCGGTATGCGTGTAGTTATAGAAGTACATATATATATGTATATATATAGACCTCTCTCTCTCTCTCTCTCTCTCTCTCCCTCTTTCTCATTCATGGTTCAGGGAGTTTAGGGTTTCGGTGTTAAGTTCTGGCAGTATCTAAGGTATCATGTAAAACCGTATATACATGTATAGTACATATATTATGTATATATATATATATATATATACATAATTACACATAACATACATACGTATACACGTGTAAACGGGGGCAGGCAGCGAGATCCTAAACCCCCAACTCCCAAACCCTAGAACCCTATGCCGAAAAGCCCGCTGCTGAGCGGGTTTGGGTGCACCTCAGGCCGTCGGGTTGAATTCATGCCCAGTAATTAGCATTCCTGGCTCCAACATCACAGAATAATATAGGGGCGTAAATAATTACCAACGTTATTCGTAGGGTTCCTTATTATAGTTATAGTATGATATGCCCCAAAACCCTATTCTAATTATCAAGGCCCCTATAGTAGGGCCCTGACGGCTTAGGGTTTACGGGGCCATTGCCAATAGCAAGTTTGGGTCCTTCATTGCAGGGCATTTTAAGAGACCCCACCAGACCCTGTTCTAGCTCTTCGTGGCTGTACGTACAGCAATGAACTCCAACTGAGTTGAGAGGAGAAGCCACCCCAAAAAATCCAGGTTTGCTAGGTACTAGGGTTCAGCTCTGTTGAAGTCTTTGCTTTAGGGGACCTTGAACCTTTCAAGCTTTGACCCGCGCGGTGAATCGCAAGAGCAGCTTCTTGGAAGGGCAGGGGACTTAGTAAGTAGGTTATAAGTAGAGTTAGAAGTACCCTAAATGGAGTTACCCCAATTATAGCCCTACTTATAACCTACTTACTAAGTCCCCTGCCCTTCGGTCCAAGTTAGGCACCATGAACGGCTATGCCTTGCATTGGGTCTTCCGCACCACTCAGCTGAAGCCGACGTTGGACTTCCTCGAGCAAGTGTTGGGCATGACGCATGGCTTGCTTGGTGGTAGGGTAGTCTTAGGGGTACTTAGAAATAGTTTTGAGTTGTTGGTTATTATAATCCCCCAAAAAAACTAAAACTACGATTTTTGCTAGGGCTCTAAGTTCAGTATAGTAGTAACCTTTTCCTTTTGTGTTCGGTATTATAACCCCGATGCAAATCGTAAAGGTTAGCCGCTTAACCTTTGTTGGTGCCCCTAGGATACTCGACAGCTAGGCTGCAATACAGGATCACAAGGGTTCTAAACCCTAAACCCTAAACCCTTAAACCCTAAAGTGTAGGCCTAGGGTTTTTGCTTGGTTGTCGCGTCGGGCTCTGAGCATAAAGGGCTCCTTAAAAGGGATCTATAGGGGTTCCTTAAAGGGATCTATGGGGGTTCCTTAAAGGGATCTATGGGGGTTCCTTAAAGGGATCTATGGGGGTTCCTTAAAGGGATCTATGGGGTTTAGGGTTTAGGGTCTACTTAAAGGACCATGGGACTTAGTAACTGGTGTTATAATTAGGGTAACTATACTTATAACTACTTATAAGCCCAATGAAGGTGCTTATAACCTTACTTACTAAGTCCCATGTTCCTCCAAGTAGTATTATCAGTTGAGGGCTATAAAGACTACTGGCAACATCTGGCAACTAAACAGCATATGACGGCGAGAACAGACGTGAGATACTGTTAAACCAGGTGCCTGCTTCCTAAGCTGGCTTTACAGACTGCAGCAGCTTTGTCCAAGGCATGTCCTTCGCCACGAGGAGAACACGTCTGCCTGAGGCATGACTGGGGTGATTGTTCCAGGGTTAGAAGTATGAAGAACTAAAAAAAAGTATTTTCGCCTGTAGACTAGAGCCCATCTGATTATAGCAAGATGTCAGCCAAAATCAAACTCTAAAGTTCAAGGCCCCTGTGTTATGTCCCCTGCCCATGGGGCTAGCATGCCACTTAGGGCTTGCAGGCGCAGCAAGCATCAGGTCAGGACAAGGCGCTCTTAACTGACTATAGCCCTCCTCCCACTGCCCCACCTAAAGGACCATGGGACTTAGTAACTGGGGTTATAATTAGGGTAACTATACTTATAACTACTTATAAGCCCAATTACGGTACTTATAACTAACCTTACTTACTAAGTCCCATGATCCTCCAAGCAGGACCAAACAGCAAGAGCAGTAGCTCAACTAAAGATGCGGGAAGATCAGCAGGGGAAGGGTCCTTGTGAAGAACCCTACAAATGTGGAAAAGGTTTAGTGCAAGACAAGGTGCAGCCACCATATAGGACACAATATAGATATGTTAAACAGCAATCTCAAAGCCATAGCCATAGCCTTAAGTCTGAGCCCAAAGACGTACACTCAAACCCTTAACGCCTGAAGCTCTGAATTTGGGCCAGCACCCCAACCACCAAATCCCCTTAAACTCAGAAGCCCGAAGTTTGAGTATATAGGGTATAGGTTTTAGGTTCCCCCCTAAACCCTAAGCCCGAAACTGCTCTAAATACTGGCGTAGAGACCCCTTGAGGCTCTTTGATTCGTTTTGTTCGAACCGCCCTGCTCTGGGATTGCAGTTCGTACTGGGGTTGTATCTATTGCAAGATCTTTGGACTTCGGCCAAGAGCAGGTTTGTCGGTTCCTCAACTGTAGCTGCGAGTGTCAATGTGAGGACTTTGTTCTGTTATGGTGTCATTTCCCGAACATTATTGTTGTTTCCAGCACTTGATCCTGTCGCTCGGTTGTTCAAGGTCCTCATACCAGGCTCTACCTATTAGGTATTCCGACTGTAGCAGAGAGGAAAAGGGCCCTCAAAAAAAAAGAAGCTGCCATACATACCCCATGCCCCAAACAGGTATCACCTGCAATGGGCCTTTCAAAACTGCCTGGAGCAAGACGATGGTGGGCTACGACCTTGAGGTGCTCTGTCAAGGGGCCTTTAGGGCTTCAGGGTTTAGGGTTTAGGGTTTAAGGGTTTAGGGTTTAGGGTTCAGTAAGAGGGTTTAGGGTTTAGGGGTTTAGGGTTCAGTAAGAGGGTTTAGGGCTGTTAGGGCTTCTTGGTTTGGGTTTTAGAGACTTAGGGTTTAGGGTTTAGGGTTTAGGGCTGTTAGGGCTTCTTGGTTTAGAGTTTAGGGTTCAGGGTTTTTAGGGTTTTTAGGGTTTAGGGTGCACATACAGGTCGGATTATCTAGCCATTGAGAGTCTGACAATGCATGTATAACTTACCTGAATCAGGTACTCGTATTACTCAGGCCCGTATACCAGGAGTCCAGGATTCGAACACTTTGAGTTGGGTTTTCGGGCTTTGGGGTTGGGCGGTCAGCGTTCGGGGTTCACATGGGTACTTCTCCTTGTGTTTTTTTTTAATGAGGGTGCCATGCTATTTTTGCGGTCCATATTCCAGTCATTGTTCTTTCAGGTTTTTCGTTCGCCGATACGCATCCAGTTGTTAGGGACCCCAAAAGCACATAAGCATAAGCATTTTATGGGGATATCCCAACCTTATTGGGCTTCATTATGAGGGGGGTTATATGGAGCATCCCCATCCTAATTGTTGCTCATGTGCTTTTTGGTGGCCCTAAATTGCCCCTTGCCGGCGAGTTTGGCGAGTTCTCGCCATGTCCCAACCGTCGAAGGATGGAAACACCTATTGAGCATTCCAAATGGGTGGTTGAAAAACATGATGGTCCCTTGTTGGGTCCCCCGTATGCTAATACGGCACCTATAATTTAGTGTACCCAAAAAGGGACCTTAATTTTGACAATGAGGTTCTTGGGGCTTCCGGGAACAGCAAACTCCAAACCCAAAACCGCGGAGGTGCGGAGTTAGGACTTCGCTGTGGGAACGGAGTTGGGCCTTTTCGATGTGCCTCCGGTGTTAGCCGAGCAGGCCCTGAACCAGGGCATCGTGGCTCTGACTCAGCGGTCCGGAGAATTCGCACCACTACTTCAATGAATAGTGTACTTCTTTTTGAGGACACTTCCTAAAATACCCTGAACCCTTCAGCTTCATCTTAAGGCCACTGTACGAACCGCCCTCAAACGGCCCTAAACCCTAAACCCCCAACCCTAAGCCTAAGCCCCCCAAGCAACACAGGACAAGGCCTATTGCATGGAGCTGACATACAACTACGGAGCCTCAGGTCGAAATGGTCTTGGGTCTTAGGGTATGTGATTAGGGTTTGGGTTGGGATTTAAGGCTTGGGGTTTAGAGTCTGGATTTGTGAGTTTGGGCTTAGCGTCTGGGGCTCAGTTAGGGTTGAGGTTCTCAGGGCCAAAGGCTTCGGGTGTGGGGTTTGGCGCCCAAGGCCCGGGGCACCTAAAATTTATGTAGAGCTTGAACACAGACAACAGTGACCACTACACAAAACCCTGCTTCGATGTTGAAGCGCGAAGGCTGAGCCATCCCATTCAAAAAGCCTAAACACTAAGCCCTAAACCCTAATTGAGGTTTTTGGGCTTCGACGTTTAACCCACGATCCCCAGTCTTCAGGGTATATACCCACAAACCCTGCCCAGCCCCTCGTATTTGCAACCTGCATGTTGAAGGAAGCGGTTTAGAGTTTAGGGTTTAGGGATTTAGGGTTTAGGGGTTTAGGTTTTAGCGTTTAGGGTTTAAGTTTAGGGTTTGGCTGTTTAGGGACTTAGGGTTTAGAGTTTAGGCAAGGTTTGGGTTTTACTTTAACGCCAACCAAGCCCTACACCCTGAACCCAAAATCCCTAAACGCCCCTACATCCCTGGAAGCCGAAACCCTTCAATCCTAAACCCCAAAACAAACCCTAAACCCTAAAATCCTGAAACCCTAAACCCCAAAACCCTTAAACCCTTAAACCCAAAACCCGTAAGCCCTTGAACCCTTCAACCCTTCAACCCTAAAACCCTTAAGCTCTAAAACCCTGAAACCCTAAACCCCCAAAACCCTGAAATCCTAAAGACCCTTCGGAACCCAGAGACTCCAATATCCCTTAATTCAGGAATATACCTTAAATTATAGCAGGATCCTTAATATGATTTAGGAAATATTCCTTAATTCATGGATATTGGAGTCTCTGGGTTACGGTAACCCTAAATCCAAAAAACCCTAAACCCTATAGATCCCTTCAAGGAACCCTTATGGATCCCTTTAAAGGAACCCTCAAGGATCCCTTTAAAGGACCCTTCGGGAGCCCAGAGAGCCGAGGACTCGACCGACCTGGCACCTACGAGCCGGGGTCTCTTTGCCATCGCTGGGTAACATTTTACATTTTTATGGCTACTTAAACCCATAGTTGGGCTTAGGGGTTTAGGGTTTAGGGTTTAGGGGTTTAGGGGTTTAGGGTTCATTATACATTTGTTTGTGTACTTCGGTTGGTTTTTAGGGCTTAAGGTTAAAGACTCCATGTACCCATGTCGTATATACTTTTGGCTTCTTTAAGGGCTACCATGGCGGTTTTATAGGGCTTAGAGTAAAAGACTCCATATACCCATATACGTTAAACCCAATAAGGAAGAAACATGTACATGTTTAATCCTATCCCAACAATGAGCTAGGTCTGGACTCGCCGAGTTCGGCATTTTTGTGCCTCCCGGCTCTTGGAGTCCTGGGGTGTAGGGATTTAGGGGTGAAGGGATGTAGGGGTTTAGGGGTTTAGGGTTTTAGGGCTTTAGGGGTTTAGGGGTTAAGGGTTTAAGGTCCTTTTTTCATGGTTCCCCAAAAAGAATAAACAAACCGGCTAGTAGACCTTCTTAAATAATTCCTACTAAGGGATATAGGTATAGGGCTCTTTCAGTCCTTCGATGCTTACCGTTGGTTGGGAATGGAGGAATGGGGTCTTACTACCATTCTTCCATTCCCTACTAACCAAAGGTAAGGATGGGGTTTAGGGTTTTAGGGTTTAGTGGTTTAGGGTTTCGGGTTTAGGGTGTGCGGAGTCTTTCGATGGGCTTCACGGTTGACGTGTTGAGAGAATAGGGGCTGGGGGCTTCGAGTTTGGGGTTTGAGCGTTTAGGGTTTAGGGTCTGGCAGGCGCCCTTTCGGGTTGCTTCAGGTTCCTTTGATCGGGCAAAGGGGACACTATCTGGTTTAGCGTCGGGGGCCGCGTGTACGGGAGCCTTTTTATATTGCGGTGTGGCCGGTTTAGGTTGACGATGCGGTGTATAGTTTAGAGCATAAGTAAGGTTTGTTTCGGCTTTGTGGCTTATTGTTGCTTCTCAGTTCACAGTACTGTAGGTGTTTTCGTGCTTGGGGCGTCTAAGTGTGGGTTGAATCCTAAACCTCATAACCCCAAGCCCCCCCGAAACCCTACACAGTAAACCCCTAAGTCACAGGGAACCTTAGGGGGGGTAGGTGGCCTTAATGCCTGTAATGAGGACTTAAGAAGGCCTATTTAAGGCAGTATAGTCCCCTACCCCCCTCCCCCTAGCCCCCCCTCTAAGGGTCCCTACAGTAGAAGCCAGAAAATTGGAACATAATTGTCCTCATACCGTAGCACTAATCCTCCTAAAGCCATGCTCCAATTTTCTGGCTTATACAAAAAGTAGTTATAAGTATAGTTACCCTAACGATAACCCTAGTTGCTAAGTCCCATGATCCTTTAAGTAGACCCTAAACCCTAAACCCCATAGATCCCTTTAAGGAACCCCTATAGATCCCTTTTAAGGAGCCCTTTAAGGAACCCCTATAGATCCCTTTGAAGGAGCCCTTTAAGGAACCCATACTAAGGAGCCCTTTAAGTACCCCCCCCCCTCTAAAGGTCCTTTATGCCTAAGGTTTCAAGGCGGTCCTGGGCTTTTTTGGTGACAGTTCGGTAGGGGTACTTAGAAATATTTGTTAATTTTTGGTGATTATAATCCCTAAGAAATAGCTAAACTTACAATTTTTGCTAGGGTTCTAAGTTCAGTATAGCTTCGACCTCGGCCTGCGACACTCCGGGGAATCTATAGTAGAAGCCAGAAAGTTGGAACATGGCTTTAGGAGGATTAGTGCTAGGATCCGTTATAGTTTACCTTAAGGGTCATGAGGACAATTATGTTACAACTTTCTGGCTTCTACTGTAGAAGCCTAAATCCTAAACCCAGGGCGTGGGGCTCCTGGTGTTCAGGCAAGGGGAGCCTCCGGCGGATCCGAGCAAAGCTCCCGAAGCCCGAAATCCCGCCCAGACCCCCTATACTACCCTCTAATATGGGTAGTGGTCAAAATTATGGCCCCTTTTGGGGTACCCTAAATAATAGGTGCCGTGCTATAATAGGGAACCTGATTTTGACAACCACCCATATACCCCCAAAGACCCACACTTAAGGGCCATAAGGACTCTATGAAAGGGCCCTTGGGGATTCTGGTATATACTCCAAAGACTGTCACTCCAAGCCCTACACCCGAAATCCTATACCCCAAAGACTTAAAGACTGTAACCCGAAACAGTTAGCCTTCTGAAGGCCGGATGTCGAGGCTGCGCGGAAGGCGGGCTCGTGGAAGTTTGGGGCTTTGGGGTCTGCAGGGTTTAGGAGTTTAGTGGTTTAGGGTTTATGGTCTAGGGGTTAGGGGTTTAGGGCTTAAGGTTAAAACCCGAAGCCCTAAAGCCCTAAACCTACCAAAGCCAGAAACTCGGAACATTGAAACCCCAAACTCCGAAACCCTAATCCGGGTCGTAGGACTTACCTTTGGTTAGCAGGGAACTGCAATTATAGTGGCATGGGCCCCCAAACCCGATTCTAATTTATTAAGCCCCCTAAAGTCCGACTCCGTGCCTGACGCCATCGATCCGCTCTGTTGAGTTTCTTTAGGTAGAGCTTTGGGACATTTTATATCTTCCCTTATTGAGCTTAAGAGGATCTTATTTTACGAACAATTGTTCAACTGCTTTAAAAGCCCCACTTAGTTCTCAATTTATCTGAAGGTTTTGTTTAATGCAGTAGTCTATCCCAACAGTCTTCGCGCCAGTAGTTTTGGCATACGGACGAACATTCCTAGAATACTTGTGGGGTGCAATCTCAGGAGTACAGATGACGTGTTAACATCCCGGCCATTGTCTTTCGGCTTCACGGCTCACACCACCACCGCCATCGGCGCCAGCACAATCATCACCGTCATCTCGCCAGAACCATCATCTGTGGCCTTTTATGCCGTCATAGTCATTCAGTACAGCGAGAGCAATTCATTATGGTACTAATAACTTTCCTACCTGTGCTATCACTGATGCCCGGCAAGTGGAACAGCCGGCACGGACCACGTTTGACACGACAACAGGTACTTTCAACGACGACAACCACCAACAGCAATTCCCACAATTGTATTCCCCCACCCCTAAATACTGAATCCCTAAACCCCTTCTAAAGCCCTAAACCCCTAAAGCCCGAAACCCTAAACTAAAACCCTAAAACCCTAAAGCCCAAAACCGTAAAACCTGCAGGAGCAGAGTCTTGAGCCGAAATGACCACAACCCAGAGCCTCCAAAACCCCTTAATTAAGGAACATACCTTAAAATCATATTAGGGATCAAAATGATAATTTAAGGCATGTTCCTTAATTAAGGGGTGTTGGAGGCTCTGGGAACTAGCAGATGATGGATGTGCTTTTTGGTTCAGTCATTAGCTATGTCTTGCACATTCGCTCACTCACCCCTTTCTTCAGTAACAAACACACTCACTGACTCCTTCGTTCCGTCATTCCTTCCTTTCCGCGCATTCAGAACTAGTTCAAGACATATTTAACTCCGTCACTGACTGAGTCATACATCATTGCTTTTCTGCCGTGTGAACATTCAGTCACCAGTGCAACAATCATTATTGGGATCTGTAGTACGAAACATTCAGACCTCTATACGCTACACCCTCAGCGTTTGGCCCTGAACCCCAAAACCTGAAGTCAGCTCAGCCGAGGCAAATTCATGAAATCAGTTGCGCAAAGTTTGATATCTAATCGTCTTCAGTTTTAGGGTGAAAGGTTTGGGGTTTATTTGCGATGCTTCTTAGGCTTTAGGGTGAAAGGTATAGGGTTTTGGGTTTCTTTGTAATGGTTCTTAGGACGTAGCATCAAAGGTTTAGGGTTTCTTTGTAATCCTAAGGGTCCATGTACTCATATAGTATATACTTGGGCCCTAAAGTACCTAAATCGGGACTACGTTAAGGCCAATGTATGTGATACAGGAGTACATGAACCCTTACTTGGAAGGGCAGGGGACTTAGTAAGTAGGTTATAAGTAGAGTTATAAGTACCCTACATGGAGTTACCACAATTATAACCCTACTTATAACCTACTTACTAAGTCCCCTGCCCCTCCAAGTAGGGTAATGGTTCCGATTCTGAGTCTTCGCAGGCCGCGGCAGCCTTGGGCTATTCCGAGGACTTGGCTTAAGGGAACTTCCTCGGCCCCTGCGGCGTTTGAGTTGCAGGGTTTAGGGGTTTAGGGGTTCAGGGCTTTAGAAGGGGTTTTGGGCCTTAGGGCTTTAGGGTTTAAGTTTAGGGTTTCGGGCTTTAGGGGTTTCGGGCTTTAGAAGGGGTTTAGGGCTTCAGGGTTTAGGGTTGTAGGGTTTAAGTTTAGGGTTTTGGGGTTTCGGGTTCAGGGTCTGGGGCCTCGGGGGTAGGGCCTGGGTCTGTGCTGCCGTGCTCAGAGACCGGAGACCGTAAACCCCTAAAAGCTTAAACCCTAGCCTTGTCCCGCCTGGCCTAAGACCTAAACTCCACTAGGCCTTAACCCTCAACCTTAGCATGGAGGCCCGAGTAATTTGCCTTAGTTGTTCGTAGGTCGTAGGGTTCCTTGAGGTAACGCCACAAAACCCTATTTCAGTGATTGAGGTCCTGACTGTAAACCACAAACTCTCTCTGAACCCTATATGGGAGTTTCCGAAAATAGGGGACCCTTATATAGTACCCTAAATAGTAGGATCCCTATTATAAGGACCCCTAAATAAGGTACCCCCCTAATTTTTGGAAGCTCCCATGTAAACCCTACCCCTGAAATGAAACACTTCGTTTCAGGAGGATGGTTGCGTCGTAGGCCCTGACAAGTATCGCCGCCTGGCGAGCATGGATGCCCTATAAACTCCTTTTCGAGGCTAGAGTTTAGGATTTAGGGATGCCCAAAAGCTCCAAGCATCCCCCTTTGCACGTTCCTTCATGGATTCTCGAAGGGGTTCTGAAAGCGGCCAAGCTCCTTTGCTATGGGATTCCGATATGCTATTTGTTTCTGTGTACGTTGTTTTTGGCTTACATTCGTTTTGCAACGTTCTTGTTTGCTTGGCTCCCCCTATAAACCCTAAACTCTTCAACTCCAAACCCTAAACCTTCTTCGATAGGGGGATTCTTGGGAACCAGGATTCTGGCAGTCGATTGGCTGGGACCGTCACGATAGTGGTGTATATAAGTGTCCTGCAGGGTATGTGAAGTGGGGTTCATATTAGGGGTTTGGTTATCGCATATGGGCACCCTTACCCCCAAATCGTAGACCCCTCTAATGCCCCCAGAATAAGAAGCAGCAATAACAATTGCGATGGAATAACAACAATAGTCATCATCACCAGCATCATAATTGTAATGATCTCGTGACATATTATATGAATGAGATTCACTGTTTTTCTTAGCTGCGAGGCTGCAGCTGATCCCCCAACGAGCAGTGCTGGAGGGGATAAGTCTGATCTAGATGAGCCTATGGACGATTGAGGCGGCCGCGGGGAAATCAGCTGTAGAGCAGGAAAAGCTTGTTGCAAGGGTTGAGGGCTTAGGGTGTATTTAGTCACCGTATCATTTTATTGTAATGCATGGTTCGAATGATACTCTCGGGATATGATATCCCAAAAGTCAATAATTCAGAGCTGAAGCCGTGGAGCACCAAAGCTCCGAAAGGCCAAAGCCTTAAAACCCAAGACCCCCAAAGCCCAAACCTCTAAACCCTATTTTCCTAAAACCCTAAACCCTAAACCTGTAAACCTTAAATCCCTAAACCCCTAAACCCTAAACCTCCAAACCCCAAACTAGACCCCCAAACCCCAACCCCTAAACCCTAAACCCCTAAACCCCCAAATCCCAAGACTTAGGCCCGAAAGCTTCACGGCTCCAAAACACCAAAGGTTTTAATCCCAAGAGTCCCAAAGGCACTTGGACCTCAAAACCCCCAAACCCAAGGACTTAATTCCGAAAGCCTCAAAAACTCTTAAACGCCAAAGGCCTCCCATTATAAGGTAAACCTATTGGGCTTTCCTTTCGGCTGAGCCTAAGCGCGATGGGGTTCAGGGTGTTTGTGGCTACCTATAGACGATGACAATGGTGGTTCGTCGGCGTCGGCTCCATCCTCTTCGTCGCGCACGCCGTCATTGTCAGTGCTGCCGGCGGAGCATACAAGCGCCCGCAAACCTGTACAAATCTCAGACCGGAAAGCTCAGACCTCGCAAATCCTACCTAGACGCTCCAAGTACCGAATGTTTAGCAAATGGTAGGGGCTTTCAGCAAACTCTCTTTTTGTTGGATGGTTTGGGGTAGCTAGTGAAAAGGCCTACTGTGTGGGTAATATACGGGTCGGCATGGTTTGCAGTCTTATGATTACCGTATAATGAACGCCACGCCCTCTTCTATTCTAGTCATCTTGGCCCCCGTATTGTAATGGTACTCCTCATGGACCCCTTCGAAGCACAAACCCTTCAAGGAACCCTACTCTAGCTGAAGGCCGTCATATTACTTGGATCCTGAGGCCCTATCACTCTAAAGCCTAAACTAAGCCCCCTTTGAAAACCCAAACGCCGGGCCCCCTAAGCCCTACCTTAACCTACCAAAACCTACTTTTTTGTAGGGTTCCTATAAATTCCATATTAGGGCTTATAATTTAATAAGAACCTACAAAAAAGTAGGGTTTGGTAGTTTAAGGTAAGCATTCCTGAGCCCGAAGCTCCAAAACCGTAACCCTCCCTAAATCGACATCCTCAACCCCAAACCCTAAGCCCTAAACCCCTGAACCCCAAACCCTGAGCCCCAGACTCTAAAACCCTAAGACCCGCGGCCACCCAGGTTTCCGGCTCCTCACCTTGCCGAGTGGCAGAAGCGAGCGCTTCCTTTACGTCCTAGCCTTGACATGTTTCTAGGGTTTAGGGCTGCTACAGGGGCCTAAATAATTACCAATACTATGTTGGGGGCTCCGAATGATATTTATAGTATATTGTCCCCAAACCCATGTTGTAATTATTAAGGCCCCTACGTTAGGGGTTGCGGGCTTTGGTTGAGTGTCCTGCTCCGTTGTCTGGCGTGTTTTGTCTTGAGTTTTACAGTAAACCCCATAAAGTTGGAAACCGGATTAAGGCCATATAGTGCTGGGATTCCCTAAACATTCCTCTGAAGGATTAAGGCTATTGTGTTTCCAACTTTTTGGCTTCTACTGTAGGGTCAAGGTACATACTAGGCCTATCTGATCTAACAGATGGGTGGTTGTCCAAATTATGATCCCTTTTCCCTAAGGCTCCATGTACCCATATAGTATAATTATACTTAGCCCTTAAAGAGCCTATATAGGGACTCCTTTAAGGCTTAAGTATCTACTATACAGGTACATGGAGCCTTTGGGTTTTGGGTACCCTAAATAATAGGTGCCGTATTAGAATAGGGACCCACAAAGGGACCCTAATTTTGACAACCACCCAGATGAGGACTTCGGCTTAGGTAGCTTGTCGATTTGAAACCTGATAGACCAGACCCTAGACCCCAAACCTCATACTTAATCATGCGCTGAGCCTTCAACCGTACCATCCCTAAACCCGATAAATTAGAAGGGACCCCCACCCTGTAATAGTGTTATAATAGGAATATAGTAGGGCCCTAGTATAATCCTTATACTCACTATTACAGGGTGGGTGCAGCTTCTAACTTATAAACCTTAGGCCCCCCGAGCCTTATACTTATGCGCTGAGCCTTAAACATTATACTATACTATCCCTGAAACGTAATCCCAGTCCCCTTCTGCGCTGAGCACAAGCCCCCCGAAGGTCATGTGCAGATCTGGAAACCTGGAAAAGACCGTTGGTTTCTACAAGGATGCCTGGGGCTTGGCGTCGGGTTTGGGGATTTAGGGTTTGAGGTTTAGCGTTTAGGGTTTTTCAGGGAGCAGAGTTTAGGGGCTTTGACCAGTAGATTTGTGCTTCGGGCGGGTGCCGACAGGCAGGTCAGCACAGAGGCTGGAATGCCACGGGCAGCGTCGTGGTAGCAGACGTCCTAGTAGTAGTAGTAGTAGTAGTCGTCGTCGTCGTCGTCGTCGTGGTAGTGGTAGTGGTAGTGGTAGTGGTAGTGGTAGTGGTCGTAGTAGTAGTAGTAGCAGTAGTCGTCGTCGTAGTCGCAGTGTTACTATTACTGTTTTTCTTATTCTTATTATTATTATTACTACTTACTACTGCTAGTACTACTAACACCTTCGTACCAATACTTCTTTTCAAACACCTTCGAACACACTCGAAGAGCCTACGCCACGCTGTAAACGCTTTGTTCAAAACATATGCGCCCCGAGACAAAGCCCTGAAGCTGAACTGCTCCCAAGCCCCAAACCTTAGGGGTACTTAGAAATAATCTTTGATTTTGAATTATTATAATCCCTAAGAAAACAGCTAAAATTATAGTTTTTGCTAGGGTTCTAAGTTCAGTATAGAAACCCCGTAAGCCTTTTTTCAAAGCTTGAACCCCAAACTCCCTTGAAACCCCAAAACCCAAACCCGAAACTCGTCCCCACACCTGGCCTTAAACCCTAAACTCCTAAACCCTACACCCTATTCTCTAAACCCTTAACCCCAAACCTTACCTTACCCAAGTTACCTACCTTTTTAAGACTTATATAAAGAAATCATATTAGGGAACCCTAAACAAAAAGGTAGGTTCCTTAGGGACCAGGTAGACTCTAAACCGAAAAGAGTCTCCCAGGTCCTGGGAATGGTCGATGCCGAAGTCCCCGGTGCGGTCCCGTCCAAGCCGAAAACGGCTGCGGTTAGCCGCTTGCTGGAGTTTACTTAGGGACCCACAAAGGGACGTAAGCAGAAGCGTTTATTTTTGGGGGGAAATCCCTACCCTATATCCCTATCCTTATTTTTGCTGATCTGTTGTTTTTGGCCCTATTTACGCGTTTTGGGTCTAGGTTCCTTTGTTTGAGTTGGGGAGGGTTTAGGAGTTTTAGGTTCCTTTGAGTTTAGGGTTTAGGGATTTGGGGGTAGGTTCCTTTGAGTTTAGGGTTTAGTTCGGGTTTTTGGGTCGAGGTTTCCTTCAAATCTCTTTTTCGGAAGCCTTTTAAACATTAAGAGTTCTAGCAGGGCTCCAGGTTTAATAAACCCCAAGGTGTAGGGTCTAGGAAAGCTTTGGGGTTGAGAGGTTTAGGGTTTACTTGGAAGGGCAGGGGACTTAGTAAGTAGGTTATAAGTAGAGTTATAAGTACCCTAAATGGAGTTACCCCAATTATAATCCTACTTATTACCTACTTACTAAGTCCCCTGCCCTTCCAAGTAGGGTTTCCAGCTTCATGTTGTAGGGCTATATACGCTTGGGGGCATGAGGGTCAGGCATATACCTGTAGGTTCATACCCTACCGGGGTATCTATAACAGATCCTAACCATAAAAACTAGGTTTCCAAAACAAGGGGTAGGGTATGAGCCTACGGCACCGTGAAGATGAAGTCGTGTCTTTCAGCGGATGTTCCTCACAGTTTCCAAGACCAAGTATCCTCAAGCCTTAGTACAATCCTATTCAGCAGCTTGCATTCTGAAGCAAGTGGCAGTGCGGCATGCTTGTAATCTCCTTGTATGGGCAAGAGGTGATGCCTATTATCACATACATTGGCCTTAATGTAGCCCCTGTTCAGGTACTTAGGGCCCAAGTATATACTACATGAATATGGGTACATGGACCCTTAGGGTTCATTATTCCAGGTCGCAGGGACTCCAATATCCCTTAATTAAGGAATATACCTTAAATTACAGCAGGATCCCTAATATTATTTAAGGAATATTCCTTAATTAAGGGATATTGGAGTCTCTGGGGTTCTTCTTTCAAAAAGTTGCTTTCTTCTGACACCCGAGAGTGACCGGGTCGGTCTGGCTTGGGCCTCTATGACTCGGGCTTTCGATCTATACACGCGCCTAAGAAGAAGCCCCAGCTGTGTTTTTTTCAATGATAAAAGTTTTTCTATTTAATTTTGTATTTCTAAAATAGTTGTCATTTTTGTTTCTAATTTTCTTAATTAATCGCCCCTGAACCCTAAGCCCTATACGGCTTTTAACGGCCATTTGGTCCGTAAGGTTTACGAGGCCCCTTTACGCCCGGATTTCTGAGCGATCTCGAAATAGGAGTAATCCTAAAGCATGGATCCCTCAAGCCCGTAAGCAGGCACGATCCACGAATCTATGTTAACGGTCCCTTTCAAGCCGGGGTTTTGGCGATTAGGGCTTTCAGGGTTCAAGTTGAAAGGGTTGGGCCCTATGATTAACAAAACAGGGTTTAAAACACCCTTTTCCCCCCGAAGAGACGAACATCAGAAGTCGAGGAGGATCCAATCCTCAGACCCAAAAGTCCCCGACTTACCTTTGGTGAGTAGGGAATGGAGGAATGGGATACAATTATAACTTATAACTACGATTACTACCATCCTTCCATTCCCTACTAACCAAAGGTAAGCCGAAGCTAGGGTTTGGGGTTCCACAGGGCCCAAGACACTTTCACTCAGCACAACGTCCTAAATGAGGGCCGTTTAGGAGCTGTCGCGGGGCTCCTTGATTGGGTATATTTCCAATCACCTTACCAGTCCCTCTTTATCATATTCGTGCTGATTCCTGAATGAACGGCAAAAACTGGGTTGTGCTTTGGGATAACTTTTAATTTCCCGTACTTCCTTATAAAGGGAACTTATTCATAAATGACTTTCTAAGGGTTTAAAACACAATCCAGAAAAGGGAGCTTTGATCTATCTGGCTGGCGAGGCTACACCTCGAAAATGCACCCGCACGGCTTGGAGCCAGTCCTACTTGCCACCTGTCTACTTAGATAGTGAACGGGTTACTATAAGGGGACCGTAAGGGGCTCCTTTAAAGGGTTTCTATAAGGGTACTATAAGGGGGAACTTTAAACTTGTTGGCCTTATATATTAGCTCTATCTTCGAAAGTTTGAACTTTTTGGGCCCCGGTTGTTGAAGAATGGAGTCTATGGGAGCTGTAGTGGTGCCTCCAGGAACTCCATAGCAACTGTAGAGGGTCTCTGGGTCTAGGAAGACAGCTTTCAGGGTCTAGGACGATTGGTTTAGGTTTTTGAACTAACGGTATGTGTGGCTTGGTAGTCGCAAACACGTGCTTGGGGGTTGATGCTGTGGGCCAAGGGTTGGTAGGGAATGTAGTGCTAAATCTGCACAGGTGAATATGGGAGGTGCCGAAAACAGGGGACCCTAATATCGCACCCAAAATAGTAGGATCGGTATTGCTATAAGGACCCCGAAATCAGGTGCCCCTAGTTTTCGGAAACTCCCATATGTTTGGAGTATTCGTATTCGAGCCAGGCACGACATCCCTAGCATTGTAGGATCCGAGCACCGATACGTGGGTCTAGGATGCCCAGTAGTACCCTTATTCCCTTTTTGTAGTCCTAGGTTCCTTATAAAGTTACCCAATACCAAAAAGAGAGGCCTTTTTATTCTTAGGTTACTGGGTATCCTAGGTGGGTTGTAGTTTGTAAAGACCCTCTGCTTGAGAACGAAGCCTGAGCCTTAACCAGCCCTAAACCGACTAAGCCGAGGCCACACCAAACGAAGTACAGTTGGCCAAATTACCCTAAACCCTAAACCCCTCAACCCTAAACCGTCTGCGAGACTGGACTGAAGCCTCCTCAAAGTCTAGGTAGTAGGGTAGGTAACCTTTAACCTTTCCGCGGTATCATTATGCCTACATAACATAACCGCAAAGGTTAACCCTTAGTTCACCTAGGATACTGGACAAGTATGAGGGACGACACACCAAGGGAAGTGGACCTAGCAGTATGTTGGTTTCGGCACCTTGTGTGGAGTCCGTTTAGTCAGGATCCTTTCATACCCTATCGGTAGCTGTTTTGTGAGATTTCCATGCGGGTAGTTCTCTAAGTTTTCAGGTCCCCCAAATAGTACGGCACCCTTATAAAACGGACCCTAAAAGGGACCCTAATTTAGAGAACTACCCATGTGCAAAAGCGTCAACTCAACGACTCAAGGGAAAGCCCAAAGTCGAGTGGGGTTCGGCTTCGCTGGGAGCTCCTGTCTTTTGGGCTTTAGGCTTCCGGGTTTTGGGGTGTAGGGTTTTGGGTTTAGGCTTCAGGGTTTAGGGTTTAGGGTAGGCTTCCGGGTTTTGGGTTTGGGGTTTAGGCTTCAGGGATTAGGGTAGGCTTCAAGGTTTTGGGGGTTACGTATTCTCAACGCCGCTCTAGTTGCCACCCTAAATCAGCCTGGAAGCCTGAGAAATTCTTAGTGTAGCAGCCTTATGCATAAGGTAGAAGCCAGAAAGTTGGAATATGATTATCCTAACCCTTCTATGGTAAATTATAGGGCATCCTACCATGAAACCATATTCCAACTTTCTGGAGTTCCCTGTAAGCCCCTCTACGACCTTTGTGGTAACTACCGCTTCAGCTCCTTACACGTGCTCAAAGAGTAGGGCTTAAGGTCCCAGAAGCGGTTCAAAGTATTGATGCTTACGGCCACCCTGAACATACATCCCATGTAGAACCCTCTGAAGAGCCACTAATGAAACCCATTTTTAAGATTTGATCAGGTTCAGGGTGTGAAAAGCAAGTAAACACAACAGCCGAATCAGGTCTGGTACGAGGATGGAGTGGCTCCCAAGCCCACACCCTGGGAGGGCAGACATGCGTTGGGCCGCTGCGCAGCACCATAGGGCATGGAGCTCATAAGGCTTCCTTTCAAGTCTCCTTTAAGGTATTTACATATGAAGGAATATACCTTTAAACTTATTTATAAGTACCGTAGCCAAATAAAACGGCTCCTATGGGTTCCTTTATATAGGTTCCTTCAAGGGTTCCAGGGCTTCTTTAAGGGTTCTAGAGCTCCTAAGGGTTGGGGCGTTGAGGGTTTACGGTTTGGGGCTCGGCGCTGAGGACTCTGTAGTCCTTTGGGGCTTTAGGATTTTAACTGTTTGGAATCCGTTTATACATATCCTTTGTGAACGTTTATCAGAGTGAGTATAGGGGTCACTTCCTTTCTGAAAGGCCCCAAGCTAAGGTCAAAGGGACCCGATCCCGTCGGTTTAGACTTGGAGCTCTGAGTTCGATTCTCGCTGGTTCCCTAACATTCTTTATCCTGGGTTTGGTATAGTTTATGCAGAGTTTATTTAGGGTTTAGGAGGTAGGCATTAGGAGTTCATGGTTTATATAGATTTTAGGGCTTGGCTTTCGATCTGGGGTGCGAATCACGATCGCCTCGACTTCTGAGGACTGGATGCAGAGCAGATCATCGCCCTCCATACAAGGCCCTCCAAGTCCAGTTCCCTATATGGTGGGCTTTTCTGCCTGATATATACATATGTGTGCATGTTAATACACATACATACATACATGCATACATACATACATACAGCCACCCACCCACCAAGCCAGGCAGGCAGCCAGCCAGCATTGCAGCCGTGCATGCATGCATTGCATGCAGACATGCATACATGCATATAAGTACATACATGCATACGTACATACCTGCGTACGTACATACATGCGGATTTGTTCACATAGTATCCGCATCCCAGCAGGTGTGGGGTATTGGGCTTCTGGGGAGCATGATTGTATTGCTGATCTGTTTGACGAAGTTTTGGCGACTTGCCCAGGTCCGTTGATGCTTACGTGATCTCATTTCCTGGCATCATGTGTGTGTATATGTGTGGATGCCCTAAAGGATTTGAAACACAACCACACATATACATGGAGACAGTGAGAGCGAACATGTATGCAGATAGCTAGATGGGTTCTTGAGGCTTAAATTAGGGACCCAAAAAGCACATAAGCATAAGCATTTGTTTAGGGATATCCCTACCTTATTGGGCTTCATTATAAGGGGATTCATATGGGATATCCCTATCCTCATGTTTGCTTATGTGCTTTTTTGGGGCCCTATTAAAGGTTGTGGGTTTCGAGTTCAGGTCTGGGGCTTCAGGGTCTGGGGGTCAGGCCTCGGGGGTTTGGGTACAGGGCTGTGGCAATTGGCAAATGGTACTGTCTACTATTTGCTTAAGAACCCCCAAAAGATAAAAACAAATATTCCTTATGGTGGTAATATAGGGATTATTATTTCTATTTTTTGGGGGGTTTCTTAAGCAAATAGTAGCTGTTGATGGACAAAATCCTGCATGACCCTATAAGGAATTCTAAACTATGGGAACTATGGTATAGTCCTTATAATGGGTAATGTAGGATTTTGTCCATCAACAGTATCACAGTTCGAGTTTACGGTTTGGGAAGTTTCAGGTGTTGATTCTAGGATGCAGATATTCTGGTTTAGGTTCTAGATGTTGAATCTCGCTGGGCTACGCTGGCAACATTGAACATGCATTTGTCAAGCAGTTGCCGGAAGGCCTTCCCATGAACCCGTCAACAAACATTTCCCTGTGCGAGGTATAAGAAGGAGTTCCCGGACAAGATTATGCTGCTTAGCTGCTGTCGGCATATGTGCATGCAGGGGGGACAGGAAGCGACGGGGTAAAACCAATAAATCCAAAGACCTTACTAAAGCCTGCTACGACCAGCGCTGGGGGGCTCATGTCATTTTTGCACAATTCTACGCAAAGCGCTCAGGTGATTCAAAACCTAGGATGCCCAGTAGTACCCTTATCCCCTTTTTGTAGTCCTAGGTTCCTTATAAAGTTACCCAATACCAAAGAGAGAGAGGCTTTTTTTATTCGTAGGTTGCTGGGTATCCTAGAAACTGAGCTCTTTGCCGGTCAACTCTCCCCCAGCCCCAAATCCCAACCCGACGTCCTCCATCTCCCCAGACCTTCCAAAATCCCTTAACTAAGGAAAATACCGTAAATTATAGTAGGATCCCTAATATGAATTAAGGTATATTCCTTAATTAAGGGATCTTGGAAGGTCTGGGTCCCTAAGGGTCCATGTACATACTCCTATATCACATACATTGGCCTTAATGTAGTCCCTATTTAGGTACTTCAGGGCCCAAGTATATACTATATGGGTGCATGGACCCTTAAAGTCTCCAGCTTTAACTGAATAATTCGTGATATTTGCTCCCCTTTCCTAGAATTTTTAGTATGATATACCCCCAAGACCATACCCTGAGGGTTCATGTACCCATATAGCATATACTTGGGCCCTAAAGTAACTAAACAGGGACGACATTGAGGCCAATGTATGTGATATAGGAGTACATGGACCCTTAGGGATAGTCCTGCAAGTACGCAGGCCCATAGGTTAGACCCTTAGAGCGGCAAAGCCCCAGCAAAACTGGGTTCTTGTTGAGAATTTAATTTCAGTTCCCATAATCGGGATCTACAGTGATATGCTTCCTTTCATTTACGGTAACTTAAATTAAGTTTTTTAAACCAGAACCCAGAAAATCAGAAACTCCAAGGCACGACGAGAAGACCGGTGGGCCCATCTCTCTCCAGGCTGGGTTTGGTTTAGCGTTCAGGGTTGAGTTTATCGGGTTCAGGGTTTAGGGTTTCGGGTTCGGGTTTCGGGTGTTCGCGGTTTAGGGTTTAGAGTTTCGGGTTCAGGGTTTAGGGTTTCAGGTTTGTCGCCAAAGGTGTTAGCTTCGGGTTACCGTAGCACGGGACTGTCGGACCTTCGGCACAGAAAGATGTGCTGAAACGGGGTTTATAGGATCTCGATGGGTGCTGCATTTGCTTCATATCTATCTGTATCTGTGCCTTTTATGCAGATTTAGCACTGGCACCGGAATCACCTACCTCCAAGGGGGATTTCAGAAAATCACGGCTTGTAACTGATGACGGATTGTCTACAAGTGTGGCTCCTCATATCATAAGAAGCAACACGAGTAACAGCAACACCATTTTACAGTTATTGCTTATTGCTCCGAAACTCCCGACCTTGGAAATCTGGAGGCTTTCGGGTTTTCGGTGTGGGGTTTGGGGCTTTCGGGTTTTGGGGTTCAGACACCTAGATAGTAAGGAATATGAGAGTTTAGGAGTCGTAGGTGCTGATTGGGTACGGCCGCATTCAGTAATAGTTGAATAATATTCATAATATAAATATAGTAGGACCTGAATAGTAGCCCTATTATAGACTGTATGGGGGCCGTACCTAAGATCTTGACGACTTGGGTTTTTGGGCGGAGGAACCCGACTCGCTCCCTAGGCTGACATGCATTTAAAGACTCATTAGCTGAGTGGATACACTTTACACTTTTTGGGATCATACTACCTACTCTAAAGCTGAAAGTGTACACTTTTGGGGGGCTTTTGAACTCAGCAACTTGGAAGAACACCTAACTCGGCTTCATGGGCCCTGCCTACACCATCGAAGGCCATTCTGAGGCCCAGAAGCCAGCCAGACCAGCCCCATATACCTGAATGCGAAACTTTGTGTAGAGCTTCAGCTCAACCAGAAGCTGCCTGAAGGAGAAGCTGGGGACGCTCTTCATCTTCATTGCTAGAGATTACGACGGCTGCATGTCTGCATTCCCTCAGGCTCAAATGACCCTTCAAATATGTATGGGGCTATGCAACTTAGGATACGCATGTATAATATATATATATATATAAGGATATTTGCATCGATCTCTCTCTCTCTCTCTCTCTCTCTCTCTCTCTGTAAAGCCTAAGTGGGATAAGAACCATAATTAGCCCTCTTAGTGTTCATTCGGTCCTCAAGGCTTGGATCCTGAAAGGGAGAGGGAGGCACAAGCCGAACCTGTGAGTCGGAGAATCTGTGTGTGTGTGTGTATGTGTGTCAGTGTGTGTATATATATATATGTATAATATGTATATATGAAAGCGCAGGTCTGTATACGCGTGTCTATACAGTCTAGATAAAACTGGAAAACCGATATACAGACATGCATACTTCCATATGCTCGTGCATACATATATACCTACGTCCATCTTTGCATGCTTACGTATATACATGCCAACACATGTGCAGTGGACGGGGGGGAGCACGTCTGGTTGCTTCTGTGTTGAGTCATGGAGATTGTGATACAGCTACCCGGCAAGATTGAAAAGGCTGGACTAACAGCTGTAGCCATTTTGTCCGAGTGCTCAACCCTCAACCGTAAAATCCCGAAACCCACGCACGAGAACACCCTAAACCATAAAAAGCAAGACCCTTGCAAGGTTACGAGATGTGCTACGTCTCGCGCGAGACGATGCTGCCGGCTGTTGTCGAGGCAGTGCCGCTTAGTTATCATTGGTTTGTGGCTAGTAGTTCGTATATCTTATACAATGTCCAATGAGAACCCATGTGCAACCCAGATTTCTGTAGTTGTGAAGTCTCTTTGGGTGCAGGTACAGTTGCTAAGATGCTCAGTAGTACCCTTATTCCCTTTGTGTAGTCCTAGGTTCCTTATAAAGTTACCCAATACCAAAAAGAGAGGCCTTTTTATTCGTAGGTTACTGGGTATCCTAGGTTGTCACTGGACTCTAAGAACTTCAGCCTCCAAGTAGTCCCTCGTCCCGATTGAAACCTATACAGTCTTTTGTGGTACGGTTGGGTTACGTATTGTGGGTGTGTTGATGACAATATATGACGAGACACCTGGTGATGCGGTCTGTGGATTTTGCATCATAGGTATTTTTGAAGGCTGAAGTTCACGATTAGTAACCTACGATTTAGGTTTTCGCCTTGCCCTAAAGCCCTAAAATCTAAACTTCTTAACCCTGGGCCCTAAACCCCCTGAAAGCTAAACCCTAGACCCTAAACCCACCTACCATCCAAGGGAACTGAAGCCCTAGGCCGTCTGAGCATTCTCAGCCTAAATTCCCCATGACATCCGAGTGCCATTGTGTGATGCACTACAGGGGCCTTCATAAACAGAATAGGCTTTTGGGCTGCTTTAAAGGTACAATCAGGAACCCTCAGAAATAAAAAAGGTAATTATCATGAGGCCCACATATCATGATCGACCTACGGCTTTCCATTTGCCTTTTGAAGGGCGTTACCTAGAGTTATGGACCCCGCGGTTTGCGGTTGAGGGCCAGGTCAGGGTTTAGGGTTCACTGATGGTGCGAGCCTGGCCTTTACTCACATTGACACCACTGCAGACTGCCATGTTGCAGGATTTGGCCCTACAGGTACTTGCAAGTCCTCGCGGGTGCAAGCACTTTTCCGGAGCTCTGTGCGGATTTGCAAAGCTCAGCACCCTGCATACTGATTCAACAGATTGCCGGCTTGGTACGGTAGATCCGTACGAACCCGAGTTACAAGAAATGCGACAACAGTCCGCGAAGATCCACCACACCGAAAACCCAGAGACCAAATCCTCAAAGCCTGAGTGCCCTGAACCTGAAGCATTGGCTGTAGGGTTTAGGGTTTAGGGTTTAGGGGTTTAGGGGTTTAGGGTTTAGGGGTTTAGGGTTTAGGGTTATAGGGGTTTAGGGTACTTGAAGGTTCAAGAAAACTTCATTCATAGCTAAAGTATTATTAGAGCAACTATGTTTAGAAATACTTCTAGCCCCAGTCTCCCTAAACCCTAAACATAATCCCGATACATTGGGTACTGCCCTCACTCAGGAACAGTTGCATGATATTCATAACATAGAGATACAAGGATCTTTAACAGTAGCTCTATCATAGACTGTTACTGCATGGGGGCCGTACCCAACCGATACAGGTCTTAAGTAACCCAAGTCTTAAGCCGAAAAGGCTGCCACGAACTACGATGGCAAGGCGGCGGTTTCGGCTTTTCGCAGTTTTTTTGAGGTTTAGGGCTTCAGGGTTTTAGGGTCTACATAGGGGTTTAGGGTTTTAGGATGTTAGGGTGTCAGGGGTTTAGGGTTTTAGGGTTTAGTGGTTTTGGGTTTTAGGGTTTAGGGTTTCAGGGTTTTAGGGTCTAGGGAGTCTAGGGTTTAGGGTGTTAGGGTGTCTTTGTAGAGTTCTCACGGCTGGAGTCCCAAACCCAGGCTCTGAAAATGCTGCATACAACCTGAGGCTATAGTCTCCTTAGGATTCTTTGTTTTTGTTCATACAAAACCCAAGAGAATATTAAGCACATTATTTCTATTATGGTTCTACGGGGTTATAGGAGGTAGAACGTTCGTTCGAAAGCTATGAATGAACCAACGAAGCTCGAGTGGGGAACTGGATTCCAGACAGCTTGGATTGTACAAAAACGTTTGGGGTGGTTTAGGGTTTAGGGTCTTGGGTTTAGGGTTTAGGGTTTGGCTTGGGGAGAGGGGAGGACTCGTTTTGTGTGTGTGTGTGTGTGCGGGGTTGCAAAAGCTTGCCGGTAGGCTCTAAGGACTCATATTTTAAGGCTTTGCGGCCCAAAGACCATACTATATAAGGCTTTTGGGCTATTCTGAGCCTTAGGAAATCCTAAACCCTAAAACCCTAAACCCCAAACCATACTATATAAGGCTTTTGGGCTACTTTGAGCCTTAGGCTTAGGGTGCAAAGTTCAGGCGGTTTAGGGCTACCGGTTTACGGCCTACAACCCTAAACCCTAAACCCTAAACCCTAAACCCTAAACCCTAAACCCTAAACCCTAAACCTCAGCACCAATTCAGGCTTGGGCTCAAGTCTAGGGTTCGGGTCTTTTCAAAGTTTAGGTTAGAAGCTGCCCCCACCCTGTAATCGTGGTATAATAGGAATATAATAGGGCCCTAATACAATCCTATATAATCCTTATAGTCACCATTACAGGGTGGGGGCAGCTTCTAAAGTTTAGGTAAAAGAAGGGTCAGGAGAATCATTAAAAAACAACACACCTAAACGTGATACTCTAATTAAGCCGCTGCGCGTACCCTCCTCGACCTCCAAACCGGAGTGTTATGTCGGTGGTTGTCGAAATTATGGTCCTTTGTTGGGTCCCTAGTATAATACGGCACCTAAAATTAGGGTACCCAAAAAGGGACCTGAATTTTGACAACTACCCATATGCCCCAACCACCCCCAGAGACTCCAATATCCCTTAATTCAGGAATGAAATCATCTCAAGCCGATCTGGCAGGATCCTATTATGTATACTTTAAGGTATGTTCCTTAATTGACGGATATTGGAGTCACTGGGTTCCCATCGCTAAAGGTCCTACTTCAACTCTTGCACAGGCCCCCAAGAAAGTTTGCAGGTCCAACCCTCGACCCGAGCCTAAACAACATGAGCTGCAAAGCGTAGAGTCTGAGAGCTCCAAACCCTCACCCCAAAACAAAGAGCCTGAAACCCTACCTAAACTCCCCAAAAGTAAGTAAAATCATGGCCAACACCTGTACAAAGGAAATTATTCTACACACTTTGTAGACCCCAAAGTGCAGAATTGAAGGCCCTGGACTTTGACACCCGGGCCAAGCGCATCGCGGCCATCGAGAAAGCCGGCCGTGAGGCAGGGCTACAAGGGTTCTCCAGAATTTGCACAGTGTTTTATAGGGTGTAGGGTGGTTCACACTTCTAGTCTAACGGGTTGGTTACGGGGCTTAGGGTTGCAAAGACATATGGGTCCAAAGGACCAAGCAATTAGGTACTCGGGTTCAGGATAGCAGCTATGTAGGTTTCTATTCTGGAGAGTATATAAGTATTAGGTATTCGGACCCTTCGGGAAGATTCGTTTGATTTTGTTTACGGGGTTTTGTATGGATTTGACACGGGTCCAGTAGGTTTCGCACGAAACCCCTCATGGGTACGTGGGAGTTTCGGAAAATAGGGGAACCCAAGATAGTACCTTAAATAGTAGGATCCTTATTGTAGGGACTCCAGAATACGGCACCCCTAGTCTTCGGAAACTCCCACATAGGGCTTTACTATTTATTCTTCTTTTTATGCGTATTTATAGGTCGGTTATGCAGTCAGGGCAAGGGTTAGTAGCTTCGGGTTTCGGGCACAGTATCGGGCTAAACGGGGCAGCTCTCAAGGGAGCCAGTGTAGACGCAAACACAGTTCTATAAGATAGTCATCATTAGATTTTGACAGTTTCATGAGTCCGACGAACATCTTATCACGCTAAACTTTAAGCCCAGCCTTTGCAAGACTCCGCCAAACCTCGAGAGCAATGCTATAGATCCCTTCGGAAGGAGTTTGAGCTTTCAACTAGGCTTCAGGGTCCTCAGGGGGTTTAGGGTTCAGAGCCCTGAACCCTAGAAGTTTAGGAGTTAATGTAGGAACCTGATTAAGAAACCTTGGGCCTTTATTAGGGTTCATTCCATGAATGGGATTCCCTATACGTTTCTCTTGGGGGTTGAGGCTATTGGGTTTCCAACTGTTGGGTTTCTTCTGTACTGGCTCTAGAATTTCGCGTCTCGTGGTCTGCACGGTTTCCGGACCTTTAGGGGCTTGCAGTGCAGGGCTCAAGGCTTAAACTTAGGGCTTGGGCTGTAGCTCAAGTTCCCAGAGTATCCTAAACAAAGGAATGGTCATGTGATCATTCAGGTACTTTGATTGTTCTAGGTAGGCTTTCGGTGTCGGCCCCCCAACAAGGAAACCCTGAAGTGCATGAGGTGGAGGAGCTCTTGAAAAAGAACCCGGTAGTGTGGCACCCAGGAAGTGCGAATGTGTCTGCTACGATTACTACTAGAAGTAGCTAGCAGCCAGGGGTAGACCATTAGGGCAATGAGATCAGTTTGCAGTTCCTCAACATCGGGTCGATGAGGATTCGGTTTGCCAGCATTTTCTGCTGGTTTTACGAATCTAGTACGATTGCTAGTGCGGTGCTTTTCTATGATTTCCACTCTTGCCATTTTCGGTGAGGTCGTCGTTAGTGTTTTCCTGAACGCCTATGCCCACTGTTCAAACTCGGGTCTGGCTTTCTGGAGGTTTGGGATTGTCAGGGCTGAGAGTTGACAGTTTGGAGTTTCTGAGGGTTCGGAGTGCGGAGTACTTAGCAGCTGAGTGGATTCACTTTGCACTTTTGGGATAATACGACCCACTATAAACCTCAAAGTGTACATTTTGGGGGGGCTTATGAACTCAGCAACTAGGGTCAAGTTTTGGGCTTCAGAGGGGTTGCTCCTTTTTTGAGGGGTTAATGCTTGTTGGCCTGCTTGGTCGATTCTTTTTGCTTTTTGTTGTTTTTGTGGCTTCGGGTTTAGGGTTGACAGTTGAGGGCTTATAGTTTTGAGGGTTCGCTCCTGCTTGCCTTTTTTGGGGAAGGGGTTTGGCTCGGGATGCTGGGTGGTAGAAGCTTCGGCTTTCGCTGCGAGTTTTGCTGTTTGCAAGTCCAGGGTTTCGCGGCGCAAGCAGGTGGGCTCCGACACAACCCTAGGGTGTAGGATCTAGGGGGATAATGTAGGAACCTGATTAAGACACCCTGGGCCTAAGGGTTCTTTTCAAAGGGGCCCTTAAGTTCACCTGCTTTGTGTTTGCGGGCTAGCCTGGGAGTTCCGGATTCTTACCTTTGGTTAGTAGGGGATGGAGGAATGGGGTACAATTACAACTGCTATTACTACCATTCTTCCATTCCCTACTAACCAAAAGTCTGGCCCAAAGGGTCCTATGTACTGTTATGGGGGATACTTCCGTAAGTCATAATAATAATAGTAGTAATTGCTAATTTTGGGAACCCTTCATTCTACTACATCGGTACATGGGACTCTTTGGGTGGGAGTTCCGGATTCGACACAGCAATTACTGACTTGTTTACTGGCCTCAGCACGTGAATAGACCGCCGCGTTCCAATTCTCCAACCCTAAACCCTAAACCTAAACCCTAAAACCCTAAAACCCTAAACCCTAAACCCTTCTCCATGCGAGAGCCCAGCCTGGGAATTCCAATTTCTGGACGGCCAAACCCGGCTTAGAAATTCCCAAATCCGGACGTCCAAATTCTCCCTGCGACCCGAGCCTGGTAATTCCAATCCGTGATGGCCATCCTACCTGACCCCTACTTCAACATATACAGTTTAAATGTGATCATCTTTAAATTTTTTGCTCGAAACTTTTCGAAACTGGAAATTTTTCAGGCTGGAGGATTTTTATATGTCCAGGGAGGATTTGTCAAACGGATGAAAGGATTTATATAAGTGTACTGTAATGGGCCCCAAAACCCTGTTCTAGATTAAAACTGTTAAGGCTCCTCTGTTATAGTACCCTTATTATAGTATCCCTTAGAGGACTGCTTCAAAGGAACCCTTTTCAAGCAGCTACCGCCTGCCATTGCCGAGGTCCTCTTTTCAAAGGAGTGGTGCCCCTTCTGCCGGAAGGCGCTGTCGCAAAGCCTAAATCCTTCAGAGCGCTCCAACCCAGAGACTCCAATATCCTTCAACTAAGGAATATTCCTGAAATCATATCAGGGGTCCTATTATATTTTAAGATATATTCCTGAATTAAGGGATATTGGAGTGTTTGGGTCCCTCAGGGGTGGGATGAAGGTAGGTGGGGTAATCCCGAAATAAGAGTCCTTATAAAACGAATCCTTAATCCTACCTGCCCTCATCCCAACTTTTGACGCCAAGAGTCTATAACACCTGTGGCCCGACATCCTTTCAAAACACGATACATAAGCACGCGGTTAGGTTCAGGGGTTAGGTTTTTTAGGGCCGGGTTAGATTTCAGGGTTGAAGATTTAGTTTCAGTTGAGGCTTCAACGGTTTTGGGGGTTCCAGAGTTCGGAGTTTCAGGCTTTGAGGCTGTAGGCGTTGAATAGGGTGTTTAGGGTTGAGGCTCTGCGGTATGAAGTTCATGATAGATCCCTTATAGAGCCCCTTAAAGGAACCCTAAACCCAAACCCTACTCTTAGTGCCAAGCAGGGTTTATGGGTTGGGAGAGTCCCAGCTGTTTGAGAAGCCCCGAAGAATTGGTTCAATCTTCCATAACCCTAAGGCTCAAAATAGCCCAAAAGCCTGATATAGTATGGTCTTCGGGCCCAGAAGCCTTAAATTATGAGTCCTTAGAGCCTAAGGGTAAGGGTCCATGTACTCCTATAGTACATACACTGGCCTCAATGTAGTCCCTATTTAGGTACCTTCGGGCCCAAGTATATACTGTATGGTATACCGCCAAATCCCTGTTAGGGTTTTCTGGTATAACATAAAAAACGCCTATTGGTTTCGCCTGTGTCTAGTTCATGGCAGGTCTGTAGCTTGCCTGTTTCCCCACTGCGCAAAAGCACACAAATAACGCTTCAAATGCAAGCCGAGAAGAACCAGTCAACAAAAACAGTGACAAGCACCAGACAAGTTAAGCAACCGAAGTGGGTGGTCGCTTTGCATGGGGTACGGTTGTTGCTTCAGACTGAAAGGCGACAAGAACATGAGCCTCAGGCCCTGCAGCCCGAAAGTCCTAACGTTCACAGCGGTTTAGGGTTTAGGGTTAAGGGCTTGGGGTGTAGGGTTTAGAGTCAGGTGAAAGCGGTTTAAGGTTCAGGGTTTGGGGTTTAGGGTTTCGAGTTAGGTGGCAGCGGTTTGGGGTTTAGGGTTCCCGACCACCCCCGACAGTCCTCAAGACATGTGACTCCCCTAAACCGTAATAAAAGTGCTTCTGCGAAGGCCAAAGATGCTCTGTCCAGTATCGACGCACAGTTTCTGGTTAAGGCCAATGAGCGCTTCTCAACGGGATGCTAGGTATCTACCTGGGGAGTTTATGGGATTACCCACCGACCAACGACCCGTAACCCGTAAGTGTCCGAGATTTTGTTTGACCTTCACAGGCTTGTTAAGAATATCATCGCAGTTTTTGCCAGTGGTATCCTCAACATCACCCTAGAAGCCAGCAGCCGCTCCATGAGAGTTAAGGAGCTGCAACCCAGCATACACGGGTAGTTGGGTTCCTGGGGTCATGCAGCGTTGGCGTCACTGGTCACTAGGAGTCACGGTTTGGGGCTTAGGCAGCTACAGCAAGTGCCACCAAAACCGGTGCAGCAGGAAGAACAGCACTGGCAGTAGCTTTCTCCTGCCTGTGGTTCTGAGCCGAGGCATCCGACACAAACATACAGGTACTATAGGGGCCTAAATAATTATCTAAAGTATTTTGGGGACTCTGTATAATGGGCTCCAAAACCCCATTCTAATAATTAAGGCTCCTACAGTAGATTTGTCAGGTTCGACCCTGCTAATCGCATATCATCCTGAACCTACAAAGAACCTTCCAGTCTGAACCATGGCTGCATCCTACACCCCGGAGCCTCTACCCGTCGAACCCCCCTAACCCCTATAACCCCTATCATTCGTAAATCCTAATCCCTAAACCCTGGACCCTAAACCCTAATAATCCCTAAACCCTAGGCCCTAAACCCTAAGCCTTATAATCCCAAGTAGAAAAACCCTAATCCCCATTCTAAAGGGCCCACATTGCCCCACACTTTCCAAGGGAGGGCTTTGGGACATTTTATATTTCCCTTATTGGGCTTAAGAGGATTTGTTTTTACTAATATCCTTCAAAAGCTTTGAAAGCCCCACTTAGTTCTCAATTCATCTGAAGGCTTTGTTTATAATGCTCTTATTTACCAATAGTTTTCAAAAGCTTAAAAAAAAAGCCCCACCTAGTCTCCTCCGAATCGTTGCACCTGGCAGGAGCTTGAGGACGCCGCCTCTGGGAACCAAAGGCGTTTTCGGAGTTTAGTTCGGGGACCTTAGGGTTTAGGGTTTAGGGTTTAGGGTTTAGGGTTTAGGGGTTTAGGGTTTAGGGTTTAGGGTTAAGGGTTAAGGGTTTAGGGGTTTAGGGGTTTAGGGGTTTAGGGTTTAGGGGTTTAGGGTTTAGGGTTAAGGGTGCGGCAAGCGAGGGCGCGCGCTAGGGTGTGAAACACCCCGGGCCGCGCGCTCGCGTTGCTAGCAAACCCACCCCGGCCGCCCAAGCTGTACTCTATTAGGGTTTAGGGTTTCTTGGCTCATTTTCTACTGCATGATTTCTATTCTTACGTGATGTCATTTTTACTTATATATTGGTTCCTCGAGGTGCTAGACACTTGGCATGTCGTGGGACATGATGAGGTTCAGGTTTGGGCCGCGGCTGGGGGTAGCCTCGGCCCTTGTCGGGCCTCCGGCAGGGCAGGGCCTGCTCGGCCCTTCGGCTTCGGATTTAGCCTGGCGTCCAAGGGTGTCCTTACACTCCGCTAAATCCTAAAATCCTAAAACCTAACGCCTATATCCTTATAGAACCCTAAATATTTTAAAATCTAAACCCTAGAACCCCAAATCCTAAAATCCTAAACTCCGGTTTTTGGAAAACGATGGCTGGTTTTGGCGTACTAAAGTCTTTTCATAAAATGTGCGTTTTAACTTAGGCCAGGTGCCAATCTCGAGGTTCCTTCCTTTCTTTTCATGTGGCTGCTCTTAGCCACCTTCCCAATCCCTACACTCCGCTAGATCCTAAATCCTAAACCCTAAAGCCTTGCGTGACGGCGTTTTCGGCCGAACGCGCGTGACGCGACGCGCGTGACGCGCGTGACGGCCCTAAACCCTGGACCCAGCACCAGAATGTCATCCCGAAATCTCGAAAATTGTGGCTGATTTTGTGGTACCAAGTTCTGTTCATAAAATGTGCATTTCAATGCGGGCCAGGTGCCAATCTCGAGGTTCCCTCCTTTCCTTTCATGTGGCTGCTCTTAGGCGCTTTCCCACTCCCTAGACAAACCTTAAACCCTCAACCCTAGCCTAAACCCTAAACCTAGCCTAAACCCTCAACCCCAGCCTAAACCCTAAACCCTAGCTTAAACCTTAAACCCTAAACCCTAGCTTTAAACCCTGAACCCCAGCCTAAACCCTAAAGCCTAAACCCTAAACCCAAATCCTAAACCCTAGCTTACACCCTAAACCCTTAACCCTAGCCTAAACCCTAAACCCCAGCCTAAACCCTAAACCCTAGCCTAAACTCTAAACCCTAAACCCTAGCCTACACCCCAGCCTAAACTTTAAACCCCAGCCTAAACCTTAAACCCTAAACCCTAGCTTAAACCTTAAACCCTAAACCCTAGCCTAAATCCTAAACCCCATCCTAAACCCTAAACCGACCGGCACGACCCCGAGAGGAAATGGTTGACGGTTTGGGGTTACACTTTAATTTAGCTAACGCTAAAGGTGGTCTGGATACGGCCAGCCCTTCATTGAGTATTGACGTTGTCGTAAAGGAAGCCACATTCGTTGGCCTGTCCAGGACAGACCGGTGAGGCTTAACCCTCACCTCTCCGCTTCCTGCTCTTTTCGTATGGGCGCTCGGGCTGTGAGGCCCTCGCCCAAGCGTTCGGGGTCTGTCGCTCGACCGTAGCGACCCCTCACTTAGTTTAGGGTTCAGGGGTTTAGGGTTTAGGGGTTTAGGGTTAAGGGTTAAGGGTTTAGGGGCTAGCGTGGGAGTTCCGGATTCTTACCTTGGGTTAGTAGGGAATGAAAGGGGCCTTGTACAGGGGTCTATAAGGGTTACTATCAGGGATCCATAAGGGTACTATAATTCAGGGGCCTTAATAGTCCTAAAACTAACCTTGGGTTAGTAGGCAATGGAGGAATGGGGTACAATTATAGCTACCTTTACTACCAGTCTTCCATTCCCTGCTAACCAAAGGTTAGGGACCCCAAAAAGCACATAAGCATCATAAGCATTTTGTAGGGATATCCCTACCGCTATTGGGCTTCATTATAAGGGGGGTTATGTGGGATATCCCAATGCTCATGTTTGCTTATGTGCGTTTTGGGGGGTTCTGTTTAAGGAGCTTAGGGTCCCCAAGGTTAGGCTCTAGAGTTTGGGTTTTAAGGTTTTATGGCTTAGGGTTTAGAGTTTAGGGCTCAGGGTTTAACTGCTGCGCTAAACTTTGCACAACTTGGGTCCCACGGACACTGGACAGCACTTAACCCTAAACCCAAAACCCTAAACCAACCATAAACCCCGAACCCTAAATAAACCCTACACCCTAAATAAACCCTAAACCAACCCTAAACCCTAAACAAACCCTAAACCCTAAACCAACCCCAAACCCAGCTACGTAAACCCTAAATAAAGCTTAAACCCTAAACCAACCCTACACCCCTAAACCCTAAATAAACCCTAAACCCTAAACCAACCCTAAACCCTAAATAAACCCTAAACCCTAAAAAAATTTAAACCCTGACCCCAAATAAACCCTAAACCTTTAAAACAAAGACACAACCCTGAACCCTAAATAAACTTGCTCGCCTTAGACTGGAGGCCGAGGCAAGTCGTCAATACAGCAATGGCTTTGGGGGTCTCGAGGTTTGTTAGTCGGTTTGGGGTTTATGGTTTTGGTTTAGGGTTTTGGATTTTGGTTTAGGGTTTAGGTTTAGGGTTTAGGGTTTAGGATTGAGGGTTTAGGGTTTGGGGTTTGGGTTTAGGGTTTAGGGTATACTTTGACATTGTGGTGATACGGGAGAGCTGCCTTCGTGGTTGATATGTGTTGCTCTGGACATCGTTTCTCTACATAGTAATTTCAAGGCAAAGGCGTATATTTACTGCGGAGCCCCTTTGAACTGTAGGGTTTAGGGGTTTATAAAGGGTTTAACTTAAGGTTTAGGGTGTAGCGGACGAAGTGTAGGGCTGACTGAGAACAGTAGCGGCAACGACTCACGGCCCTGCGTCAGCCAAGGACAAGAAACCGAATGTGGAGGACCCCATGTCATTTCAGGAGTACCTGGCTGTCGGGAGCCCAAGAAGGGATTGGGGCACGGGGTCTGGGGTCATTTTGACATTGGTTTCAGACCGGTATGTGGGTAGTTGTCAAAATTGTGGTCCCTTGTTGGGTACCCTAAATATAAGGTGCCATATTATAATAAGCACCCAAAAAAGGACCCTAATTTTGTCAACCACCCATATAGTATATATTTATCTGCGGGGTGTAGGGGGTCTCTTGAAAGGGCTCCCCTAAGGGTCTCCTGAGGGCACTTTAGGATTTTTAATTGAGGGTCCCCTTTAAGAGAGCCCAGCCCCCTCCCAGCGAGAAGCCATGGAGGCCCAGTCCCTGGGCCCTAGAATCCTATAAAGTAATCCCAAGAAGGAACTACTTTGGGGCCTATGGGTAATACAGCTAGCTCGTAATGGAGCCGCAGTTCCACAAGCCCAGTGTGTTGTTTGGATCCCGAACACAGATTGGCCTAGGTTTTGTAGGCTTGGTGCGGACTGTTGCTAATTATTGAATACATGCTAAGAATTATACGATTAGGGTCTAGGGCTGAGGGTTAGACGAGCTTATGTGCATGTGGACAACGAGTTTCATGGTCAATGTTCGAGGGCTCCTATTCGCCGCCCTTAGGCAGGGTCTAACCCTGGTTTCGAGACCCCTGGGGGCGTAAGTAGATATTCCAAGCGTTTGAGGCAGATTTGCTTTTCGAAGCTCAGAGTTTCTTTACGAGCTACCAAAGGAGTTATGCATCGGGTCTTCGATTTCGCATTTGTGGTTGGGAGAGCGTTTAGGGTGTATAGATCAGAATTTTGTGCGACATGAGGCCAAGACAAACGCAGGGAAGAGTGTGCCGAAGGCGCAGCTGATTTTCCGAATTTGGGATTCGGGTTCTGGGTTTGTCTACTCGCTTAATAGTATTACTAGCGCGGTAACCTTTCACCCTTTGAGGATACCATGATCGTTACAAGATCCTCAAGATTAACGCTTCGTTCCCCCAGGATAGCAAGTTACCCAAAGGGTCCAAGTATCATTCTGGTATACATATACTTATAGGGCATTTTGGGGGTCTAAGTATATACCATGATGATACTTGGACCCTTTGAGTTAGGGCCTATACGGGATGCTGGTGTGGGTCTGGCGTTTTCGGGCCTTCGAGGCGTCGGGGAAAATTGCCGGGTTTCTGGTCGGCTGGAGGAATCCGCCGGCCGACGGGGTGCAACATGGGGTTTAGGGTTCCTTAGGGGTACTTAGAAATATTTTTTTAATTTTTGGTGATTATAATCCCTAAGAAACAGCTAAAATTATAATTTTTGCTAGCGTTCTAGGTTCAGTATAGGCTCAGGGGTTTAGGGTTTCGGGAGCAAGCAGTCTGATGGGCCCTGTAGAGCAATTACACCGGAACCCTATTACCATGAAGAAGGCGGGGCTCATGCTGAATCCAAACTCCAAACCCTCAGCCCCTCTATTCCCTAAGGGTCCATGTGCCCAAACAGTGTATACTGACTTTGGCCCCAAAGTACCTGCATCGAGACTACGTTAAGGCCAAGGTCATACTATTTGGGCGCATGGACCCTTAAACCCTAAACCCTAAACCCTAAACCCTAAACCCTAAACCCTAAACCCTACCTTAAACCCTAGACCCATAACCCCTTGGGAGGAAAAGAATTTCTGCTAGTGTTTTCGAACATCCGGAAACTCCAGAAGTCGGAGAACCCCCCTAAATTCCTAAAGCCCCAGACTTGCCCTAAAATTCCAGTTGCCTAAGTAGTAGGTTACTAATCATAAGATTATATACATATACATATACATATATATATATATGTACATATATATATATATGTACATATATATATATATATATACATATATATATATATATATATATATTTGTACCCCAGCAGCTTGGTGTTATAAAGCCCTGCGGCTGAAGCCCCAAAACCCTGAACCCTGAAGCCGAAACCCCAACAGGGCTTCATCAAGGGCGAGTTCATCGGTGGAGGTGACGACATCGTCGAACTCAACAAGCGCGGCAACTTCGGAGCACGGAAGCGATGGGCTCCGGTTGTTACAGGATCGTGGAGTAGGGTTTAGAGTTTCGGGTGGCAGGGTTATAAGGCTTAGGGCTTGAGGGTTACAGGGTTACAGGGTTCTGGGTCTATGGTTTAGGGTTTTAGGGTTTGGGTTTAGGGTTTAGGGTTATAGGGTTATAGGGTTATAGGGTTTAGGGTTTTAGGGTTGGGGTCTCGGGTTTTGAATTCAAGCTTGAATGAATCAACGCTTCCCGACGGAATCTCGCGATCTGATGAGATTGCGGGATGGATGGACCCTGGACCCCTCGATTCTATCCCTGGAACGATTGCTGCCATAGGCTGCAAAGCTGCAGCAGCCCTAAACCACTACACCCGAAAGCCTTTAGTCACTAGACAAACTACTCCACCCTAAACTCCAAAGCCCGAAGCCAAAAATTGAGGGAGTTTCGGACCAGCAGCATTCTGAGGCAACTCCTGTGCAGTCTGAAGCAAGATATCCACTGGACCAGCCCTGCATCGTTGACTACCTGTTCGGCCCGCGGGGTTCGCAGTGCGAAGCGTCCGACGTGGGATTTCACCTTGCCCAATGTGGATCGTTTCACGACGATGCCGAGCGATCATGCCGTTGAGACTCTGCAGCCTCATGCGTGGATGCACCTGTCTTGAGAAGTCATGTGGCTTATCACGCTCTGGACTTACCTGAGTTGTGGGCAGCCATGGTGGCCTCCTGCTGAGCGGGTGATGCAGATCTGCTTTCAGCAGTCATGCAAAGTGGCGTTCAAGGATGCGTTGCTGGACGAGGAGCCTGAAGGTTGCACAAATGTGTGTGTGAAGAACTTGCCTTAGGCTCCTTATACCAGTTATGAAGACGTAGAAGTCATTTGCAGCTGGGCCCAAGGGGTTGTGCAATCTTTAACCTGGACTAACGAACCCTAAAAGTTGTTCCTGGCTTCAGATGGTTGGGGCTTTTCTGGGGGTGGCACAACGTGCAGCTCAAACTCCGGTCAGACCGAACGGAGGCTTGGGGTTTAAGGGTTTAGGGCTGAAGCACAACCACAAGACCCGAAGATTCCAAGTGGGTGGTTGTCAAAATTAGGGTCCCTTTTTGGGTCCTTATTAAAATACGGCACCTGATATTTAGGGCGCCCAAAAAGGAACCATAATTTTGACAACCACCCAAGTAGAGTTTAGGCTTCAAGGTTTCTTCTTTGAGGTTGAGAGTAGACCTCACTCGATTCGACCTCTACCCACGAGGGCCTTATTCAGGGTACCTGAGTTGGTCCTCGTAGACGAGTCTAGAGTCTATAGGGCTTCAGAAGTTTGGATGAGTATGAGAATTGTATTGCGATCAAGCCGCGAGGGACCACTTAACCGAGGCAAAACGCTCAAGTCTGCGATACAGAAGCTTGAGTAAGCACTACTCGTGTTCATTGGGGTCAGTCTTTAATCACGAGTATTGAGGGCTCCAAACTATTTAAACTGGAGCAACGCTAAGCCTCCCAGACCCAAGCCCCGACCCTCGCTAACCCCGGGCCCACCTCCCCAAAAAGACAAAAATTTAACAATACAAGCAGCTAGATAATAGACACCTGAAATCGATCTAGTCCCCAACCCTCGTCGGCGAATCCCCAATCTCCATAGTAGAGAAGACCGAATAGTTAGCACCCATATTGCCTCACAGTCTCTATACAGTTGTCGCGGAACATACACAAGAGCTTTGTTCTGACTGTTATAGCCCCTAGCGTACACCCAGGACCCCATGAACCCGGCTTCGCAAATCCTAAATCCCAAATCAAAGGATTACTGAAGCACTACACCCAGCTCCCCAGAGACTCCAATTTCCCTCAATTAAGGAATATACCTTAAATCATATTAGGGATCCCTAATATGATTTAAGGTATATTCCTTAATTAAGGGATATTGGGCTCTGTGGGTCCTAAGGGGTTCAAGCCTCTAACAGTCATAGACTCCTCCCATCCTCAGCCCTAAACCCGAAACCCTGCCATCCTCAGCCCTAAACCCGAAACCCTGAACCCTAAACCTAGTAGTAGAGTAGGCAACCTTTAACCGTTGTTGGGTAGTATAGTCCCTACATAATCCCTAAATAACCAAAAAGTTAACCTTTAGTTCCCCATAACACCCGACAAGAAGGTAAACCCTAAACCCTTAAAGGAGCCCCTCATCCTCGGCCCAAGGCATGCTACTGGAGAAGTGCTGGGGCCCCAATCCGGGAAGAGAAATCTCGAGACACCCCCAGGGCATTTTTTCAGGTTTCTGTAACTAGGACCTAGAGTAGGCCCGTATTCCCTTTTTATGGGCTCAGGTTCCCTTATAAGCCCCTTTAAACCAAAAAGGGCATCCTTTTTATGCCTGGGTTACTCTTGGGTCTAGGTAATATCATTTATCGGTGTTGCATAAGTGTTTCGCCAGTTTGTTTTCAATTCGCGGTGGTTGGCAGGGGTTAGGGTTCCGGGATTTTGGTTTGGCTGTAGATTAGGATTTATGGCTCGGAACGGATTACAGGTTTGGCATAGGGGGCTGACAAATTTATTTGTTTTTTTTTTAAAGCTGTTTAAATCAGGGAGTTTAGAAAGGGTTTATGGTTCCGGGGTTTGGGCTTGACTGTAGACTTTTGGGTATCGGTATCTTTACCTATACCTAGACTTACATTAATTTCTGTTTCATCTATAAACCTATTTCGTCGCCCACATCCATATCCATCTATATCTATATCCAGGACTGGATACGTTTACTTGTCACGTGTTTAATTTGCATGCTGGCTGCCTACATACATGCATGTGTACCGCAACACTATGCTGGTTGTCATCGACTGAACACCCTGAACCCTATGCAATGAACCCTACAAGTGTAAATCCCCAAAACCAAAGGCCTAAATTCTCAATCCCCGAAGCCCATAGTCTTGAAGTCACGGGGCCTGGGGGTTTAGGGTTTAGGGGCCCGAACCCTAAGCCTTCGAACGCCCTAAGAAGCACTGCCATTGTGCAAAGGCGTGGCCGTCGGCGCGGCAGCCAAAAAGGAGGCGCCAGCTGGCCAGGCCGGGACAAGTTTGCTACTTTATAAGGTTTACGTTCTTATGGTTTTGACCCTTTACGGTTTCCTTGTAAAAGGGTTCCATATGTTCCATGCAGTAAAAATCTCAAAGGTTACCCGGTTAGCCGTAGTTCGCCTAGCAGCTGGACAAGTCAGATAATAAATCTTTGAATCCACCCTTCACCCCTAAACGCCTAAAGCCTAAACTCCCAAACCACAAAGTGCGTAAGCCCACACACCCAAAACAATCCTAAAACCCTAAACCCCTAAACGTGTGCTTCAAACCCTACTTGGAAGGGCAGGGGACTTAGTAAGTAGGTTATAAGTAGAGTTATAAGTACCCTAAATGGAGTTACCCTAATTATAACCCTACTTATAACCTACTTACTAAGTCCCCTGCCCCTCCAAGTAAGAAGCCCCGCTCTTCCAGGACGGACACTTCTTCTACAACGGTAAAGCCGGCCTCGTTGGGTCGGGTTGGGGGTGCCCCCCCGGGCCTTCAGTAATATGGAGACTCCTTCAAGGGATCCTTTAAGGGCTCCTTTAAGGGATCCTTCAAAGGAGCTGTTTAGGGATCGTTTCAGGGCTCCTTTAAGGGATCCTTCGAAGGAGCTTGTTAGGGCTCCTTTGAGGGAACCCCTTCTTGGAAGCCTCGGCCCTAAACCCCAAACGAGGGCCCTTGAAGGAATTCTTAAGGGCTGCTGTAAGGGATCGCTTTAGGACTTTAGGGATCGATTAAGTGGACTCCTTTCAAGAGCCCCTTTCTGAAACCCTAAACCCGACTCCTTTTGTTAACGTTAGTATCCCTAACCCTAGGCCCTAAACCCTAAACCCTGAGAAAGGCCGCTGCACCTCAAAAAGAACCCTAAACCCTAAACTTGAAACGGATCCATTAATTGAAGACTTGTTTTCGAAGGATCCTTTGAAGAACTCCTGCGAGGATGCCCAGGAGAGCTAAATTTTGGAGGGGTCCATGGGCTTGTAGGGTTTTCGGGTTGTTCGTGCTTGTGGGTTTAGAGTCTTGGGTTTTGGGTTTAGAGTTCATCGTTGAGGGTTTATAGGGTTTAGAGTTTACAAGAGGGCTCTTTAGTTCCCGTCGTTTTTTAACTTATTTTCCAGGGCACCGGATTAGGGTTAAGGGTTTAGGGTCTAGGGTTTAGGGTTGAGGGTCTCGCCCCCTAGACCCTAGCCGGCCAGGCAAACTGGTGGCGGAAGCCGAGTGGAAGGCCTGTGAGGTCTAATCCTGGGTTTCCCCAAGGCTCCATGTATCCATATAGTATATGCTTAGCCCTTAAAGTGTATATATAGGGACTCCTTTCAGGCTTAAGTATCTACTATAAAGGTACACGGAGCCTTTGGCTTTAAGGAGCCTCCCAGCGTCGAGCTCGACGCTCTTAACGCTGACGTCGATGCCTAGATGGGGTTTAGAGGTTTGGGTTTTAGGGATATATGATAGATCTGTAGAACCCACAGACTTTCCAGTTGAAGGGTGTTTCAAGACAGTGAGCTCGAGTCTGCAAAGGATTCGCCGTAGTTGGCCTCATAGTGAAAGCTGCGCCAGGTCCCCGCAGGTCGATCAAATGCCTTCCTTGCGAAGTTGCTGAAATAATCTTTAACTTTTTGGGTTTTATAAAATCCTACAGTAAGTGAAAAGTTCAACCTTCTTTGGGCTTGGGTACTCAGCCCCCGAAGTAAACCCCAAACCCAAACCGCAAACCCCAAAGCAATGTGGAAGAGCAGAAAAGCCCTTAACCTGAGGCTCTTGCAAGGAGTAGTGATACAAAGATGCCAGAATCGTTTGAAGAGGGTTTCGGGGTGTATTGTAGTTCCAGTGTGTGTGTGTGTATATATATATATATACATACGTACCTACTCACCCTAAACCCTAAACCCTGCATATATGTATGTATGTGTCAATATGTATGTAGACAATTATTGATATCTCAAGGAACCCTAACTAAACCCTAAACCCTAAACCCTAACTAAACCGGAAGACTCGCCGACCGCCGGGGTCCTGCAGCTGGAGACGTGGCCGCTCTGGACATCCGTCAGACTCGGGCCCAACGCCGTTCTTGGAACGCAGGGTTTGGGGTTCAGGGACCCTTTAAGGGTACTATGGGATGCTATGGTGGGGCTCCCTTCAAAGGAACCCTTAAAGGCCTTAGGGCTTAAGGATTCCGGTTTAGGGGAATTCTTTGCAATGCATATGCTGCTTGAAACTCAAGGTGTTTGAATTGTGCAGTACTTAGGACCTGTTTATTCTAGCATGATTGTGGGCATAGTGACTGAGACATGCTGCCTCGATGCGTGACACAAGAAGCATCCGGCCATCTGCATAGCTGTCCTCAAAGCTGGCTTAGTTAGCAGGATTGCATGGGACGAGAGAACAGGATCTGCGACACAGGCCATCCAAGCGTCTTAGCGGTGGCAAGCCCTGACCAAGAAAAGCTCTCTTCCAAGAGAGGGGCCTAAATAAATTACCATTGCTATTTCCGGGGTTCCTTGTTATCGGTATAGTATCATTGGCCCCCAGACCATAGTCTGATTATTAAGGCCCCTGTAGTAGTTGTCACGGCTCGCGTGTTAATATATAGGCTTTAGGCGCCCATAATCCTACTCCCAGAGACGCCAATATCCCTTAATTTAATTAGGGAATATTCCTTAAATCATAGTAGGGATCCTATTATGATTTAATGAGGTATATTCCTTAGTTAAGGGATATTGGAGTCTCTCTAAACCCTAAACCCTATAGGTCCCTTATAGACCCCTCTAAGGAACCCTAGGTAGAACTTAACTAAGGGATATTGGAGTCTCTCTACTAATCAGGCCCTGGGCGTTTTGATGCCGGTTTCCGGGATCGAATTCAACAGAGGTCCACGTGGTTCTTTGGGCTAATTTCGAAGCCTAAATACTTGCATCATTAGTCCTTTGGGTTCCCTATCATAATTTTAGTATTAAGGAACTGAAAACCCAAAACCCTATCCTAATTATCAAGGCCCTTGCTTCATCATTTTCGGGTAGGCCTGCAGGGTTCTGGGTGTTGGTTTCAAAACGTGCGGTGTCGCAAGGCCAAGTGACCAAGTGGCCGTTTCCTCGCCAACTCTAAGCCCAAGCCTTGTATACATCTCATGCCTTCTATGTACATATGCATTATATATATATATATATATACACATCCCCACATACATATATATTCAGACATTTATTCATTTTCATTTTAGTGTTCCTAAAGCATCCTAAAGCCTAAAACCAGCCGCACGCAACTGAAGCAGCGCCAGTGGCAGTCGCCTCGTCCTGTGCACTCCAACGGTCAGGAAAACAGAGAACATACAACCATCTTTCACTCCTTTGTGACATACGTTTGCAGAGGATTTAGATCTTCGACGTGGCTATCCATCGGAAAGATAATTTGGTGACAAAAATCATTAGCAAAGATGTTCTTGCAACGGCCTTGACGGCCTTGAAAACCTAAACCCTAAACCGTTTCTCTGTCTTCCAGACTGACTCTTAACGAGCGGTGCGGCCGGTGGTGGCCATCCGCAGCAGACACCGACGACACGCGAATGAAGAAAAGTGCTGAGCAGTGCCTCAAGCTTCTGAACTTCGTTTTCGTAGTAGCTGAGTGGATACACTTTTTGGGATAATACTACCCACTATAAAACTGAAAGTATACATGTTTGGGGGCTTATGAACTCAGCAACTAGGTTTTTGTGTCTGGCTTTTAGTCTATGGTTCAGATAAATATGCTTCGCCAAAGTAGAGATTTGACGCGAGCTTAGAAGTGCAAGGTGCAATTAGGAAGCAAGAAGCAGAGGTTCCGTTCCGAAAAGCTTCTGAAAGCTTCTACCCTGCTCCCTAAACCCTAAACCGATACGGACCTCACAAGAACCGAACCGTGGCAGCCCAGCTTAATGACACCAAAACACGAAGCACAAGTAGTAAACAAAAAATAGTCAAAAGCACTCCGAAAGCCCTACAAAGCCGTCACCCCCTGAATTCAATTGCTTGAGCCCGAACCTCCTGCCAGGTGTCGTTGTCGGGGTGATAGAAGGGCCCTAATTAAAATTATCAGAGTAGGTTGCCGGGGGTTCTTCTGTAGCTACATTATGCTCCCCCCATATCACACCCAGAGAGCCGAATAACTCACCAGGAAAATACTTCAAAATATGAGGGTCTTAATATTACAACTTCTGGGATATTCCTGAAGAAGGAGGGTTGGGCTCTGTGGGTTGCTTTAGTTTTACGATTCAAGGCTTTGAATGTATGCTCCTTGAATCTTGGGGAATTGCTATTGGGCTCTCTGAATAATTTATGTCACGCCGCCCGGTGTCGTCTGAGACAGCGATGCAGCCCAAACTTCTTGTTGCCTTACCCTGAGTCTCCAAGAATCCAAACTATTGTCTATCGATTGGTTTATTTGTTTGATTCAGTTGTTGATTGCTGGTTCACTCAGTCAATACATTCAGGTCTGTTCTGAGCATGTTTGTAACTAAGGAACAGTATTCATGCATGCATCTTATTCTTGCTTCTACGTGTAGTCTAGCAGGTACTACAGGCGCCTAAATAATTACCGATGTTGATTTTGGGGGTTCCTCATTATAGTTGTAGTATAGTGGGCCCCAAAACCCTATTCTAATTATTAAGGCCCCTGTATTATGCCCAAGGGTCCAAGGACCTAATAGTCATATACTCTCCAAAATCCTAACCTACATAACTACTATCCTAAAACCGAGTACCTAATTATTGGGTCCTTTGGACCCTTACTTGGAAGGGCAGGGGACGTAGTAAGTAGGTTATAAGTAGAGTTATAACTACCCTAAATGGAGTTACCCTAATTAAAACCCTACTTACTAAGTCCCCTGCCCCTCCAAGTATGCCCCGAGTGCCGAAGCCCTTGGAGGCCTTGGGAATGGGACTCGAGGGCGGTGCACTGGCCGACCCCGGGTGGGGGCCTGTGCAAGGATGTGGGGGTTTCCGAAAATAGGGGCCCCTACGTAGCATAGTACCCTAAATAGTAGGATCCTTGCTATAAGGACCCCCCAAATAAGGTACCCCCTAATTATTCCCTAATTTTCGGAAACTCCCATGTAGGGGGTATGGTGCAGGACTGCTTTCGGACCCCAAGCAATCGGCGTTTGCCGAGGGTATGATAGACTGGTCGTGGTTAGTTTGGGATTCTCGTGCCTGATGTACCGGTAAATTAACGAGGGAGTCTTGGTCTGTTGTGGATGGGTTGAGATTCGTTTTCAATACTTCCACCGACATTGTCGTGTCACTGTGCCTGTCGTTGACGTTGTCAGCTTGCTTTTCTTGCTAGTGTCACCACGTCCTCTTGATACTTGGTGATGTGGTGCAAAGAGCCGGAGGAGGATGGCGACAATGACATTGTCTGAAGCACGAAATCACGAATGCACATTGTGCCTCATGACTGGGTCTATCAGGATTTACACAAAGCATTTATTTAGGTACGATACGTGTTGGTGAGCAGTTAGAATAGGGACGGTCACAGTCAGGCTCCTGGATGCGGCGGTTGGTTGCATCGAGGAGGCCTGTCACGGGGCACAGGTGCTTGGTGTTTAGGCTTGCTTGGAAGGGCAGGGGACTTAGTAAGTAGGTTATAAGTAGGGTTATATTTGGGGTAACTCTATTTAGGGTACTTATAACTCTACTTATAACCTACTTACTAATGTAACGGTCCGTTTAGGAATATGGGCTCCTTTAATGCGTCGGCTCGGGGGCTAATTCCGAATCTGACAAAAAAATTGGGGTGTTCTAATTAATGCGTTTTTTTTTGGCTGGGGTGATTTTTTGGTGGCGGGGCTGTGCTATTTGCTGATGGTCAATCTTAAGGCAGCCACGACCTAAACCCCCCCAAACCCCCACCCAACCCTAAAACCCTGGCCCTGAAGCCCGAAAATCTCTTGCAGAATTGTTTCGCTTATTGGGGCGTCAGGAATGAAAATCTGTACTACTACTGTACTACTACTGTACTACTATTCTACTATACCTTGATTATTGGGGGGGGCTGCTAGGGTGAACCGCCGAATCGGGGATTGGACCCTAGCTCAAAAGAGGCCTCTCCAGTACTAAAGTTTGTATAAAAAATTAAGTTTTGGGTCGAATCTGGACCGACCCCCCTTTGGAAGGGTTTAGGGCTTAGGGTTTAGGGTTTGTTATAGGGTTTAGGAGTGTAGGATTCTTTAGGGTTTAGGGTTCGGGGTTTAGGGTTTCAGGCGCTGGC